TCCCCCTCCCCCCCCCCCCGCCTCCACGCGGAGGAAAGTGGGCGGAGTTGGGCTGTGTCGACTGGTCTCAGAATCAAATACTATAGAAACAGCCATGATGGCGAGGGTGGTGGTCGGGGTAGGCAGGCAGGGGTTGTATTGGGGGAGCCTCCTGAGTCATGGTGGTGGTGGGGGTCGCATCGAGACCCCCTAAAGGAGGGGGAGGGGTCGCGAAATTTCTGAAAATGTGCGAACGTCACGGTTGACCCTGCGTGGAAGTGGTTGCAATGGCAGCGCACCAGGCATGACACTGTCATCGTCACTGAAGCAGAAATAAAGAAAGAACCATGAGAAACGGCCCAGAACCCGAGAAATGGGACCCCTTCTTGCCCGTTGATTTGCGCATTGATGCGACTCTCATCGCTGTGCCCTCTTCAACACTACGCTCTCTCTGCTATCTAATCACTCGCCACGTATAGACCTGCGGCGAGTGATTAGATAGTCGGTGGGCGTTCCGCGCCAATTGCGCCAAAGGGAAGGCCGAAAACATATCCTTTGATGCAAATTGCGTGTTGGTCCGCACCCTTAAAGGTCAACCGGTCTCTTCACTAAGCAAGTTTCCCTTTCCTCGACTATCGTTCTTATCGTAGAATCCTCCTTCAATATTGCCTTGAGCAGTTTTCTGCGGTGCTAACGGATCTGTTTGTTAACAAACTTTTCAAAAAAAAAATTCGGAAGGCTTCTGAACTGCACTTAGGGTCCACGGATGGATGTGTGTCACCAAGACTGAAATGTAAAAACTCACTTTGTCTTTATTTGCTTCGAGGAAGTCCTTCAATTTTTCGTATGCCTTATGTACCGCTTTCTTACCTCGATCTTTCTCCCAAGTTTCTGAATATGGAATATGTTCCGAGAAAAAAATAGAAAGTTCTACAAGAGGGCTGTTACGTACGTTGACCCACTGAGTACTAGGCGAGTTTCATTCGATTGGGCCTGTCGGCCTGACGTCGTATTCGCCAAGTCATCATTCCAGACCTGTGTGCAATATTAAATAGACAAGGTGCTGTTGCTGAGAAGTCACGATGAGATCCATATTGCTAGTGAAACCATCGAAAAGACCAACCATATCTTTGTGGCAGCCGTCATGGAAAGCTACTAACACATTTCTTATTTTCTCCGGTAGCGTTTCCCGTGGCGCTGAAAAACGGCATTACATTGCATGTTCTGTCTCGTTCAACATACCACAAGATTCTCAGAACGGTCTATGTGTAATACAAAGTAAGATTACCGTCACCTACCTGTACGAGCGTTGACGTTGACTAGGAAGAAAAGCAGTGAGGGAAGTATTAGAAGCATTGTGGAAGTGATCAACTTGTCTCATCACTTCCTTATTTATAGCTGCTCATGATGCACTTTAAGTGATCATGATCACACAGTGCACTGTAAGTGTATGTTAGTTGTCTCAGCTTTTGTCCGAGGTTTCCTACACGCGTATCCCTTCGCTGCATTGCTTTTAGCTTGCTCGAAAGCCACTAATTTTGTATCAATGAGGACTAGAACTATCAAGTGAATTGGAACCCATTTACGTGCTTAGTCATCAGGAGAATGTGTTGCAAACACTGCTGCATTTCGTAGCAAGAACTGAGAATGACGCCTATGGCTTGCCAGTTTTCCTCCTGAAACAAAAGTCAGTAGTATCTAAGGTGGGATAGACAAAAAAGCTTGAAAGGTGGTATCGTTAAGATGAGGCGGGACTTCAAACCACCTCCAGCCACAGTCAACCGCCCGTTGCGCAAAAATAATGAGGAGGTAGTATTTGGCAAATGGAGCGGGAGGGGAGGGGTCGTAATCTTAAATACCAATCACAAAATTTAAAGGCACCAGTACATGGCTAAGTAGAAAAGCAGGACAGACTTTCAATCACCTCTGCGCAGACGATTGGCATCTCAGAGCGAGATTTCTGACTTATATACGTCACAGTACCGTGAGCACAAGCGAAAAATCCTTTTAGAGAAAATCCCATGCTTTAGACCGAATCAGAGTGAAGGAAAGCGCAGCGATTCCGGAAGAGCTATGAAGAATTGATCTTGCTGGTTTCAACGATTTTCCTCAAAGCACTAATTTCGAAGAAATTGTGGCCATTTGAAGGTTGAAACTCGCGTTTCAGGAGAGTGACCTGAAAAAGCCATAGGGGAAAAAGGAGCAACGGGAGGATTTTTGAGGTATTGAACATTTGCAACAGATCAAATTTTTTCAGGGGAAGCAATTTGTAGCTTTCAAATTTTTGCAGCAGATCTCACGAGACTGATTTGAAGAAAGATATAACCTTTCAAATGAAGAGGTTTGTATCGTAACGTA